AGCAACCCTCCCACTCAGGGGCTTAGCTTCAGTCTAGTACTCGCCTAAGTTTAAAAAATCCTACCCAGTGGTGAGAGATCCTCCCACTCGGGGGCTTAGCTGCAGTCCAGTACTCGCCTAAGTTTAAAAAATCCTACCGAGTGGTGAGCAATCCTCCCACTCGGGGGCTTAGCTGCAGTCCAGTACTCGCCTAAGTTTAAAAAATCCTACCGAGTGGTGAGCAATCCTCCCACTCGGGGGCTTAGCTGCAGTCCAGTACTCGCCCAAGGTTAAAAAATCGTACCGAGTGGTGAGCAACCCTCCCACTCGGAGGCTTAGCTGCAGTCCAATACTCACCTAAGTTTAAAGTCCGACCTTCTTATCCGAGCTGCGCCACAAATACAACGTGCGCTCCGTCCCCATCCGCAAGGACGATGAGGTGTAGGTCGACTGCAACCTTTTCCTTAGGAGTTGCGCCACAAGTACAACGGACGACGAGGCGCAAGGTGATTGAAGTCTCCACTTCAGGGCTACATCTCAAAGAGCAAATTCCACGCGAAGGCAAATACAAATATATTCAGAAATAAACCAAGTTTAGATAAATCCTAAAAGCTCCAGGTGATGGATCAAAAGTATTTGAGCATCGAACCCAAAGAAGTTTAACGGTTACAGCAACCACTCGGCATTCCGAGGCAAATTTAAGGCAAGTTTAAATCTCAAGTCTGTTCATTCGGCAGGAGGAGGGCTGGCAGGCTCAACGAATTCGTCCAAGTCAATTCCATCTGCGATCCGAGTGGCAGCAGCGATGAAAGTCTCCATGAAGGACTGGAAATCATGCCTTTTGGTGTTGGCGACCTTGATCGCCGCCAACTTATCTTCACGGGCTTCCTTGCAGTGGACTCTTATCAGTGACAACACCACGTCAGCGCCACACCGCACGGAGGATTTCTTCCATTCCTGCACTCGACCAGGGACCTCGTTGAGTCGATCCATCAGTGACTCGAGATCATTTTGAAGCGTCGCCCTTGGCCAGAGTGATGAGTCGATCCGTGAAACTGCCACCTTCAGTCGGGCTAGATAACTTGTGACGCTGGAGATGCGGGACTCCAGTCGAAGTACATTCATGGCAGCCTCGTCGCCGACTGGAGAAAGGACAGGGTCCAAGCCCGTCTCGATCCGTCCAGTCTCCTCCTCAATGTTTTGGCAGAATTCTGCAAAGTCAAGAAGTTAGTGAGTCGACTAGTCGGGACTAACTTGCAAACAGTCGGGTTAGAAGAGGTACCTTCGAGCATGAGGAAGAGTTTCTTGGCAAGAGCTTTCAGATAAGCCTCCAAATCGTTCCTCCTGTGAGTCACGCTTTCCAGCTTCTCATTCAGAGCAACCTTATCCTTCTCCAGACGAGTTGCTTCTTGGTTGGATTTAGTAACAGAGGACCTCAACTTGTTTACTTCTTCTTCCAGCACTACGACTGAATCCAGCTTCTGGTCAGCAAGGGCAGTCTTATCTTGAGCCTCCTTCTGCGCAGCTGCAAGGTCCAAGTCTTTCTTCTCCAGAGCCAACCTCATTTTCTCTGCAAAATAAGCATTTGGATCAAACAAGAGATCAAAGAAATATCTTAAAGGACGATCGACGTGGGCAGTCGACAGACAGTTACCTTCCATACCAACAACTTCATCTTGAGCCTTCTTCAATTTTTGTTGGGCCAGCTCCAGGTCAAGGTTGAGTTGCCTCTGCTTTTCCTCAAATTCGGCGAACTTGGAAATGAGAGTACAAGATTTCTATAGAGGGTAAAAGATATATCAATCGACAAGATCAAAGATTATTTATTTCCGAGTGAATAAAACTTCAAAGTTTACTCAGACCCTAGCCGACTGCCAACAGTCGGCCGCGGTCTCGAGGACTACACCCAGTGGGTGCACTTGGCGTGCCCCCACTGTTTTCAGATTCCACTTGACCGGTCTGCCCGAGTCGAGTTTAAAAAAAGAAGAGAAGAAGAGAATAGCTATTCAGCCCCGGCCGACTGCCAGCAGTCGACCGCGGTCTCGGGGACTACACCCAGTGGGTGCAATTGACGTGCCCCCACTGGTTCAGATCCCACTCGGCCGGTCTGTTCGGGTCGAGTGGAAGAAAGGAAAGTGAAAGAAGTACTCAGACCCCAGCCAACTGCCCGCGGTCGACTGCTGTCTCGGGGACTACACCTAGTGGGTGCACTTAGCGTGCCCCCACCGGTTCAGATCCCACTCGACCAGACCGAGTGGAAGAGTGCAAATACTAAAGACAACGAAACACCCAGTGGGTGTACAGATTCGACGCAAACAATAAGAGATTGTATGAAAGAAGATATTTCAGGTAACATATCCTAACAGAACAAGATCAGTCGAAAAGCAACTCACCTGGACATTGGCCTGAAGAGCCGCGCTGGCATCATAAGCAGCCTGGCTGTTGTCGTGCACCGCCTTCATCCGCTCCATCATCACACTAGCCTGACGGATGGCCTCCGCAGTGGCGTCCGACTAGTTCTCCGGAACATGATAGCTGACAAAGAAGGGGACAGACGGCCCAGATGCGGCAGCTTGGAGCTCCGAGGCGTGAGGTTGGTTGGCTGAAGGAAACACTGGTACAATCGACGGTGCGAGACATTCACTCGACAATGGGACAACAAAAGTCACAGAGGCTCCACCCGCATCTTCAGGCTGTTGGACGATGGATTCTGTCGCCAGTTCCAGCTGAGATGTCTTGCCAACCGCTACCTTTTTGCTCCTTCTAAGCCTCGGGGCCACATATTCATCATCATCCGGAAGCTCGATAACGTTGGGTGGGGTTGCAAACAAATCAGTCGACCCCAAGTGAATCACCAGAATCTAGTTGACCAAATTATCAAGAACAAGATCACGAGAATTGTACCTGGGTTGGAGGTAACCGCATCTTCCATGTCCTTGTCTTGTTATTGGCGGGAGGAAGTCCCAGAGGTGGCGGCACTACAAATGTCAACATTCAGTCGGTTACATTATGCTATTCGAGTCGACTAAAGGATCAGGTTAGATGGTTACCCCGAGATGGTGGGAACGGTCACTTTGATTTTGGGAAAAGCCTTCGGCGGTTTGGAGGATGCGGCCTTCGATGGTTTCGGCGCTGGAGGGGGCACGGTCTTAGGCTGCTTCGGTGTCTTCTTAGTCGGCACTGGAGAAGATGTCCGAGGGCGCTTTGAAGACTCCCCAGCCGGGGCGACCACCAGGTTGGGAGCGCTTTCTGGGTCGTGAGTGTGCTTGGACCTCCTTTCTCTGCGAGGAGGCGAGTCGACTTCCTCCTCGTCACTCGAGTCGTCGCTCTCATCCTCCTCTTCATCCGAGTGCCACTCGCCACTCTCACCTCCGCTCGCTTCTCCCTCGGGATCCTGTTCCTGTTCTCCGTTGGGTATGGAATACATATCAACAAGATCCTGAAAACAACGAACAAAAGGAAGACAGTCAGTCGTCAGCAAGTTGTCACGTGGTTAATCAAGAAGACACTCAACAATGCAGAATCATACCTGCTCCGGGTTGCGCAAATGGTCGAATGGAATCACCCTCCTGGACCCCCTGGGGTTATCCTTGTTACCAGTAATGCCCATCATCCACTGCTCTACTGTGTTCTCGCTAACATCCTCCGGGTGGATCCGAGTGGAATCCTCGATTCCCGAGTACATCCACATCGGATGGTCACGGGCTTGGAGTGGTTGGATACATCGACTGAGGAAGACCTCTAGCAGGTCCATACCAGTCACGCCGTCGCGGACGAGTTGGACCACCTGCTCGACCAGTACCTTCACATGCGCCTTCTCCTCTGGGACCACTCTCAAGGGGGAGGGTTTCGACACTCGGGCCATGGAAAAGGGGGGAAGTCCAGTCGACTGACCTGGAGTCGGCCGGTCCTTGCAGTAGAACCAGGTCGACTGCCAACCCCATACTGACTCGGGAAGGATCATGGCTGGGAAAGTGCTCTTGTTCCTCATCTGGATTCTGAGACCTCCGCACATCTGGATCACCTACGTCCTCTCGTCACTTAGATTGGCCTTCTTGACCGTCTGAGAACGACACGTGAATATGTGCTTGAAGAGACCCCAGTGTGGTTGACGACCCAGGAAGTTTTCACACATGGACACGAAAGCGGCGACATACACGATGGTGTTTGGAGAAAAGTGGTGGAGTTGAGCCCCGAAGAAGTTCAAGAAACCTCGAAAGAAAGGATGGGGAGGCAAAGAAAACCCGCGGTCGACATGAGTGGCAAGGAGAACGCACTCACCCTCCTGCGGCTGCGGCTCGGTCTCGCTCCCCGAGAGCCGCGCCGATTCGTGGGGGATCAGTCCCCCCTCAACCAGGTCATCGATGTCATCCTGGATGATTGTCGAGCGGATCGAGTTGCCCTGGATCCAGCCAGGCGGCAGGCCGGACCTCGACGAAGATCCACCCCGGCATCCCCTTCGCCTTTGCCGCCGCCTTCTTCGCGCGCTCCAACGCCATCGTCTTCTCCTTTCCCATGGCAGTGGTTCGAGTTCGAGCAGGGCGGCGACGCCGAGAGCAGAGGTAGATGCGGTGAAGAAAACAGAGAAGGAAGGGGAACAATGAGAACGCATTGTGCGAAAATCCCCGTCCAACGCCTTATATGAGGGCATTTCCGAGTGGCTGACTCGTGGGCCCAGGTGATCCGATCAAATCCCGTAAGAGTCGCGCGCGTGATACGTGGCGAAAAAGGTGGCGTGGAGATCGAGGCGGCCTGCCTAATCCGCCCCAATTACTGCGGCTTCCCCCGTCCGGCGCGCTTCCCAAAATTCGAATCCCGTAGAATCCGCAGACAGCAGAGCAACTCGTCAGACAGAAGATTTTTTCCATAAACAACACTCGAAGCTCAACAATAAAAGTCCATTCGACAAAACCAAGAATGGATCAAGGCGACTGAACAAGCAGTTGAAGTCATCTCGAATGTTCATTCGACCTCTGGACAAGACGTTCCCAAAACACAAAGGCTGAAGCGGAGAGGTTATCAACTTCTTCTCCACTCTGACCCTGAACCATTCGGGGGCTAATGATGTGGTTATGTACCTAGGGTAGGGTCATGGGCCTGACCTAGACACCTTCCCCTAGGACATCACCCTAAAGCCAGAATCATTCAAAGGGTATCATTATCCACTCGACCAGAGACATTCCACTCGGAAGAATCAATTGCACTCGACCATCACAGAAGCCACTTGACTAACAGAAGATCTAAAGCCACTCTGCATCAGCAACGGTCAAGCATTTACTCGTATATTTGATGATCATTTGTAACGCTCTCTCTTTATGAATATTGAACCCTGTGTAATGGAGGGGAGCTGGGGTCCTGGCGCACTCTATATAAGCCACCCTCCTCCTCTGGGACAAGGGTTCGCACTCCTTGTAACTCACACGCATATAACCCAGTCGACGCCTCCGGGCTCCGAGACGTAGGGTTGTTACTTCTTCCGAGAAGGGCCTGAACTCGTAAAATTTGCGTGTACAACTCCTCCATAGCTAGGATCTTGCCTCTTCATCCCTACCCCCCATTCTACTGTCAGACTTAGAACCACGACACTTGGCGCCATGCCGGAGCAAGAGGAGGCCTACCTGGAGCACCGGAGACCTTCACCTGTCAAAGGAGCGCGCCGACGGTGAGCGCCGGATGCAGGCCGAGCGAGAGGAGGACCGTCGTGCCTGCTAGGCACGGAGGAGGAGAAAGAGCACTAGGAGAAGGAGGAGCAATGCCGCCGGTAGAGCAGACGCTGGAGGAGTCGATGCGGGTGGCTTGGGAGACCACATTCCCATGGGCTGGGCCGCCGCCGGCCTTCCTCGACCTCACGACAACGACGACAATGATGGTGACACCTAGGGCAGCGTGCTAGGTGGCTGGGAGGCGCGTTTATTTAATTTTTTATGTTTATTAATGTTTAAGTGGACTTTGGCCCGCAGTTGACCGGCCATGTAATATTTAATTATGTTTAATCAGATCCATATTTTTGAAATTGTACTTTTTTAAGCGGACGTGGAAAAAATGTGTCTGCCATCGTTGGACGACCCGGCCGACCCTAATAAAAAAGAGGACAATCCAGTCTAGAAAATCAGCTTACCTTTCACTTTTACTAATATGCTGCCATGTATGAAAAGCAAAATATTTTAGGGGCACTACACACCCTCGAGCCTTCCTCTCTCTGGCGGGGATCCACCATTTGAGTCCACGATCAACCAGAGAGCTTCATTTCACGGGAGCTTAGTAATTGTAGAGATTATAAGTGCAAGGAAAAAATGTCATGTTGTCTGTTGCAATGAAAGAAAAAAAATGGCTTGAATTAGTGAGGATCATGTAGGAAAAGAATGGCACTTCATCTTTATTCATAAGATAAGATATGAATGAGGGCCCGCGTCCTTCAAAAAATTTGTAATTATCGTATATTTACTTCCCCTCTCTTTTCTTTCTCCTTCCTTCTTTATTTCTCATGCAATTAGTGTCTATTTTATTTCTTTTTCTTTCCTTATATCATCCATGTGACGAATCCCATTTGTCAGCCTGTTAATTACTCCTGCGATTAATATGGTGTCCACAATAATTGCCGTCTATTGCCTTCCTCTCTCTTTCTGGTTTCACATTTTTACTTGGCTTGGAGTTTATGAATTTTTATCAATGTGAACATGCAACAATTAATCTATGATTCACAAATGAGCATACATTACTTGATCACTATCATGAAATTGATTAATAAGCACTGAATGTGCCTTTTGTTAGTGTCTACGATGGACAATAGACGTAGAAGCATGGACCTTCCGTATGGACCAATCCGGTTGACTGGATTATATAAGTATCTATCTACTATTGCATGCATGGTACCTATCTGACTCTTCATCATTCTTTACTTTAGACCCAACATCCCAGAAATTAAGATAGCTATATATTGGAATAGGCCTCTAATGAGTTCTATAAGAAATTGTGTTATATTGTGATTTTGTCGCACCATACGAAACTTAAACATTTTCTTTAATATTTCAGTGGATTGGCACATTGTTTCTCTATTTCTTATCATGTTTGAATAAAACTCTTACCCGGATGAAAAGGCAAATTTTCATATCCATTCGATCAATGGGTATATTTTCGACATAGATCTTAACATTACTTGACATTTCTAAGTCACCTTTACTTGAGGGCATAAATCTTATGTTTTATCCAATCTGGTAGTCTAATTAATTTTTGATTAGTTGGTATAATGTGGTAGGTAGAAAGGACTTTGAGGAAAAATTATAAACCTCTTAACAACTACACGACAATGAGCAACCAAAACAACTATGGAGATATAATCGTTATCATTTAGTCTTACTATGAGAAAATATGCAAAAAAAATCTACGATAATGCTCTAAGAGAAATTGAAATCCGTCCAATAATAAGCTCGCATTTCAAAACTTAAAATAAAATATAGTACACGGTTCAATAGATCTGTTCATAGCCTCTCTCAGTGTAGCTAGCTTGCAAGCTCAATCAATAAGGTATTATGAATTAATTCCAATAAATAGTAGGACAATAACCTTGCTTTTAACCCCTGCTGAGTGTCATAATTAATGATGCGACCTTCAAGTATAGCACAGACCTAGTTTTTTGGAAAAAATATATGAAAGTATTCTTGGAACGAAATAACACGGTGCACACCATTATCTCTATTATGATCGTCTAGGTTACAAATTTTATAGAGGCAACATATATGAAATACAATACAAACTTTAGTACATCTACACTGTGAACCTCACGGTGCAGTGTCCAACACATTACTAAATTAACTGGTAGCTGCAAACCAAAAGTCTAAAAACAACACAAACGGTCATCGGAAAGTAAGGATTAAAGATATTCAATTAAGCTATTAAGGAAGTGTAGGATTATTTGGATAGTATTAAGTCATGGGAGGATTATTTATTAGATAGCTATTGAAAATTAAGAATTCAAAATGTTCAAATAAGCTATTAAGGCACGACAGGATATTGGCTATTAAGGCTATTTAATTCTCTAGGCAATTACCAAGTAGTAGGAGCAACGTCGTCTTAGCTATTTGGTCCTAATGCATGCACGGAATAGTGATGCAAGCAGCACTTTGAGGCCGGGTAATGCATGCACATTCCATACTGCAATTTTTCTTTTTTTGTGGGTGATTCCATACTGCAATCAGTGATGAACGATACAGTAGGGAAGATGATAACAACAATCCAAACTGACATCACCATGATTCACCTCCCCAATTTGACTCAGTTTCAGAAGCGGACATTGTTGGTGAGGTTGCAGATCGGAGGAACTACCCCAGACCAGCCCGTCATTGAGCGATCCTAGCGCCAGTCATTGGCGTCCAACTGTCCTACCTTGAGAGCGTCCTCTCTACATACGTCATAGTCCTATCCAACCTCTCACGGATCCCCCTTCCTGTCAAGCCTCGAAGATCCTGACCTCTTAGCAATATTAGGCCATGTCCGGCAGTAAAACTCAAGTCAAAAGTATTTGTTTTAGAACCCACCAATCGGGCAGCTTCTGCCATCGGGTTGCTTGCATCCATAGAAAAAATAGAAAGTGATGGAAAAAGTAAACTAACTTGTGATCTCTTTTCTGGTGCATCAACGATCTTTTTTTTTGAGAAAGCGATCTTTCTTTTCGGCTGTGCTGTACCT